CAGCCCCCCCCCCCCCATCACCAATCTCCAATTTATTAGAAGAGACACTTGTTTGATCACCTTGGTAAAAGAGTTGTTAACCTACAATCCTAGGTGCATCAATAATGCAAGCATAATCCATTTAGCATTTAGTTACCCAGATATGGAGGAAATAATTTTTTGAGCTAGCTGCAGAGACAGATGTTGTTTCTATACCCCCACTCCCTACCTGCTAAATTTGTTGAGCTGGGGATAAAAACAATTTAGAATATAGAATGTTCTACTGCAACCTGGCTCAGAATAACTTTTACTTACCTGGCCTGTTCCGACCGCCCCACAATGGACAACATTTTTGCCCATGCAGTCCAGCAGTACTTTAACACTATCAAATGACTCCTCAGGACTTCCCACCATGAAGGTCAAAATGGCATCTCTAGCAGCGTTGACACCTTTACATCGAAATGGACAATAAAACAATGAAGAGGATTATCATTTTATACCATAGCTAATATTATTTGTTTCTTATCAATCATAGAGAAACAAACTTCTGTTTACAAAGTTTTCCTGACACTATTTTTAGCATTCTTTCCGAAATATAAAAAGGTATTTTTTATTTCATTTCAGCTTATTTAGTTTGAGGCCTTGGAAGGTTCTTGGAAAAGTAACAAAATGAACTGAAAATCACAAATCTATATCCACCAAGAATAAATACCTGGGATATATGCTTATCTTATTAAAGCTTTTTAAAGCAGGAAGCATTTATTGTGTTTAATATCAATCAGGCTTGACAAGTGTACTCAACATACCTCCCGACACAGGAGCGTCCACATACACTGAGTTATGTCCCTTGGCTGTGAGCGCCATGGCCTGGGAAGTGGCTGGGTCTATGGTACTGCTATCAATCAGCAGGCTCCCATCCTGCACCTGACTAAAAGTATCACAAAAACCTCAGGGTCATACAGGAAACTACACCAAAAACTTCCACAAATTCTCCACATCAAACAGTGTTTCTCAATCACTTTGACTAGTTTGAACGAGATGACTGTCCCTGTAACTTGCCCACATACATAAAATAAGTGCATTTTAGTACAACACACTCGATGACACTTCTTTATAGATGTTCTAAACAGACTATGAAACATTCCCAGATATAAGAACTATTAAAAGTACCTGACCACCTTACAACTCCTTAATTTTTTAAGATCATCTTAAATCTTTCAATTGTGAAAAATTGATCATAGCTTCAATTGATTTTAGTCAATCTAATAATTCTTGAATATTTCAGAAATCATCATAATCAGACTACACCAAATAAATTCTACCATTTCTGAGGTTTATTAAATCGCTCTAGGGATTATGGACATCCTTTTACTGCTTTTAGGCCTAATAAAACAGAGAAAAAAAGCCTCCTTTTTCTCAAACTATCCATAAGTTGCGGCTGTTCCAGAATAAAATGTAGGGGACAGGTGGAAGGCACTTCATAGTGATTTACTATAAGGAATGGTAGGCAGATCTGACTTAAACCCAACCACCCACAATGTATTAATACACAAGAAATTATGGAACAACCTTTATTAATTTGCTAAAACAATCCTTTAATAATTATAATTTGTTTGTCGTATTATTATAATTTAAGATTTATCTCAAGTATTGAGAATCAGACATTCTTAAATTGATAACACAATTTAACAATGCATTTCAATTATCAATAAAAATATTTGAAAAGTTCAGTTTTCGTTTATTTGCCAATGATTTGTCCCAATTTGAATCCAGGGCCTGTATTCATGAAACAGTTCTCATGCTCAAGCATGGATTCTGTGCTTTCTCGTAACTCACTTCAATCATGCCAAATAATCGAAAAGTCAAATTCAAACATTGAAAACAGTATTTGGCTTTAAGTCTCTTCAAATCTTTTTTTCAAATCATTGACAAAATAACGGCTTTTTAGTAATTTATAAGTGGAAATTACGCTTGAGCAAAAAATCCATACTTGAGCATGAGAACGGTTTCATGAATACATATATATGAACATATATTCCAAAATACCTGAATAAATTATCAATTCTCGCCTTCTCCTAAAGGGTATCATTACACCATTAATACCAGAAGAACAGTAATGTTGCCATTCGTGTCCAAATATATACCAATATTGTACACAAATTGAGACAGAACATATACCTGAAGATGCCTTTAGCGCCTGAGTAAACAGTATCAACATGATGCGTTTCAGGTAACATGGTGACAATCTTCTTGGATCCAGCTGCCACTTCTGCTGGACAACTAGCCACATCAGCACCTGCCAGAAAATTATACAGGATATTTTGACTGCACTACTTTACCTTTAAGCCTTTCACAGGGGCCTATAGGTCTTGTGACTTTTGAAAAACATCACCAATAAAAAGCATTTTTTTAGGAAAATAAAGTGAATATTGTATTGATTTTGAAGTTACTAGGGGAAAGGGCCTTATTCCGTCTTTGCGTATTGCAGAGTTATCTTCTCTTGT